TAGAGATGAGCCAATGACATGCAACCAACCAACAACACACACACATATTTCTCTTGCCTGAGAAGATCAAAAAGTAGGAAAGGACCAACCTTCCTTCTCGCCCACCAGCTCAAGTGAACACGCTTGAGCAGCCGGTCAGTGTTCTGGATTTTCTTCGGCACATCCACTGGCCACTTGGCATGCCTGCATAACAACCATACACAGAAGCACACTGGCCACTTGGCATGCCTGCATAACAACCATACACAGAAGCACACTGGCCACTTGGCATGCCTGCATAACAACCATACACGGAAGCACACTGGCCACTTGGCATGCCTGCATAACAACCATAGTACACAGAAGCACACTGGCCACTTGGCATGCCTGCATAACAACGATACACAGAAGCAGAGAACATCCACTGGCCACTTGTGCCATTACTTCAGACATACATGACAGTGTAGCAGAGTAGCATCCATGGTCAAACATGTCTACTAGAAGCCTGGATGGGAACAACCCATGGTCCAGTATCAGTAATGCCTGTAAGTGGGAAACCAGCCTTTATATGCACAGGTCTGAAGTTTGAACATACCGTATTTTCTCTAATAAAAGCCCAGGTCTCCAATAATAGCCCAGTCTCCAATAATGACCCGGGGTGAGGGTGGTTTGAAATAATACTGAGTGCACAGTCTCTAATAGCAGCGCGGGTCACAATTGGAGTATGCAACAAGTATTTGACTGCATATAAAACAGCAGTACAACATGCCAAGAACATATTTGTAAGGAGGTTTTCGGTCTACTGCTTCCTCAGTTCCTGGTGCCAATGCTATTGTGAAACATCTGTTTTGACAATATTCCTGAGTTTAGGGTTGAAAAATCAGTCTTGATATGGTCACTGAGTTTATGCCTGTATAGACAGGAGTTGGCTTGACAGTTGACAATTGAAAAAATAAGAGCCCAGTCTCCAATAATAGCCCAGTCTCTAATAGTAGCGCGGGCAGAGCTGTCACTAAAAAAATAAGAACCCCAGGCTCTTATTAGAGAAAATACGGTAGATGTATCGCCAAAAATATCTCCACAAACACTTTTAAAAGGAGGATGGAGACCGTGAGTTTCGGTTAATTTTTCGTTTCTAAAATAGCGTATAGCGTCTTTATATTCTGTGGTTTTTCTTCAAAAGTGTGGTTGGGCAAGCAAAATGAAATGGCAGAGTCTGCTGCAGATTCCCATTTCCAAGCTGTGCTCATGTGGCAATGTAAAGCATCTACTGCAGCTGCTATCACTGAGCCTTGATTCTCTGAACTTACACATTACATAACATAAAGCACACTACAGTGGTCCCTCTATAATCCGGCACCATTTGTGCCACGAAAATCTGCTGGATTAGGGAGGGTGCTGGATTAACAAATCTGATTTACTGCTGCAATGTGCATGAAGAGGACATTTTGGCTACTGAAAATTGTGCTGGTTTATCGAGGGTGCTGGATTATAAAGTGCCGGATTAGAGAGGGACAAAGACTGTATAAGAACAATGGGGAAGTGGTGCCAAGTGTGAGTAAACCCAAAAAGCGTGAAGTGCGGTGCAATGCAGTGCGAAGTTGTTGAATGTTCTAGAAGCTGTATATTCACAGCAAGAAACCTATTTATTTAAACAAAAGCAGTTTAGATTCACGCTTAGGCTGTTAGGTAGGTCGTCAACAACTCGTTAGTTTTTGTCCATTTGTTGTCTGTTTTTGTTGCACCGCATTTCATGCTTTTTGGATTAGAACAATCTTAGTGTTCTTCTAGCCCCCCCCCCCCCCCATGTGACCAGATGCGGCACATGCGTTTCAGTGCAGGCCATCCGTAGAATAGCACTCACCTGCCAAAGCTAGGGTCGTTGGCAACATCTCCAAACGTCGTGTACAGCGCCTGCCAGTAGGGACCAATCTGTGCAGGAATACATAGCATACACCGGCTCAGTTACCAAGTCTCAGTGTCCATAGCACAACAAAGACGGCCGCTCACCCAATCCTCTCCCCTGTCTATACCAAGATTTGGCGGGCAAAATGGATAGTGGACAGAATCCAAAAGATTCAAGTCCTATCTGAGACTTTCCCATCGAAGGAAGCATACATTCAAGAACTCTTACAGGGTTACAGGGTTACAGGGTTACAGGGTTCACCGAACAGTTCATTGAAATGTTGGTGCCTGTACATATACACATGTACATGGCTTGTGTGCGGCCTGTGGCTTACCACTCGTCGGACATGGCACCGGCGCCAGAAGCGCTGTATCTGAGTTGCGACCACCACAATCTTCTCATCTCGGGCGCTTTCTACAGTAAAGACCTGAAGGAAAAAACAAAACAAAAGATAACTGTCCACATAGAATAGGTACTGAAGACAGAATCCGATAGAAACAACTGAACTACAAGCACATAATGAAAGCCACACCTAGGGTTGGTGCAACATGTAGGGTTGATGGAACATATAGCAGGGTTCTAGCCAAAGGGGGGGGGGGGTTCAGAGTAGGGGGCACAGTGCCCCCCCCCCTACTCTGTTTGTGTGCCCCTGTGAAAAGTACCGTCCCCTACTCATTTTCCGCTTTTGTGTTTTTTTCATGCCATTCAACGAAAATGCAGTCCATAGTCAGTACAGTACAGATCGGCTATAGCGTTGGTGTTTGATTTTCGTGAAAATATCACTATAGGCGATATATTACTACAGGCGATATGCATACTTAGGTATGCCTGACACATGCGTGTATGGTGTCATTCGAATCAGTGCAGCGTGCAGAAGCGTGCTGTGCATGTGACTGTGCAGTACGCGCAGTGCAGAGCTACTTCCTGCGGAAACAAAAACTTCGTGACTTTTTGACATGAGTTTTCAAGGAGTTGCTGTGCTCAACAAATGTGTTCTTTTGGAAGAGAAACACTTCAACACATTCAATCGACATATCAACAATATCTACAGGATCGATTAGTGGGAGTAGAGTCTCAGTCTGGGTCGCCATCGCTCGACTATCACCCCTGAAACCATTCCAAGTGGCAGGTCGTTCGACGCGTGATGTCGTCTGTCACGGAGAAGCTTCTCCGCGTCCCTGATCGTCTTCGTTGTTACCTGAATGCCTTCTCCAACATCTCGACGGAGACCACGGTAGCGCTTCAGCGCTGGTTCTCATTACTGCCTCCGCTCTCGCTCGAGGATGCCCCGGAACAACAAGCACAGCCAACGCCAAATATTTCGAATTTCCTCCGAGGGATATCATAGTTGTACCAGCGCTTCCTGACTGCCGCGATCAGATCTCGCCATGTACGATGTATAATTTTTTATGATCATCACTATAGCCGATGAAAAATGTATGCAATAGAATCATTTTGACAAAGAAATCGTATCATTATAGCCGATATATTACTATAGCCGATTATTACTATAGCCGATCCGATATGTATAGAAAGGGGTGGTTTACGAAAATGAATTTGAGAATACGATCACTATAAGAGGTATATTACTATAACCGACAACCCTATAGCCAATCCGCACTGTACTAGAGGGTTCATAAAGGCACATTTGTCTGGGGTGAAGTCAGGTGTTCGCCCCGTACATTGAATTTCGCATTCAGGCAAGACAGTTATTTTGAAAACGGAAAAATGGGTTACGGGGTAACTGTTTTCCCTGCCCCCCCCCCCCCCTACTATCTTGACCTGGCTAGAACCCTGATATAGGGTTGGTGCAACATAATTATAGGGTTGATGGAACATATAGGGTTGGTGCAACATATAGGGTTGGTGCAACATCTGGGGTTGGTGCAACATCTGGGGTTGGTGCAACATCTGGGGTTGGTGCAACATCTGGGGTTGGTGCACCATAATTATAGGGCTAATGCAACATATAGGGTTGGTGCAACAGGGTTGATGCAATATATGGGGTTGATGCAACATATAGAGTCGATGCAACATGTAGGGTTGATGCAACATAATTATAGGGTTGGTGCAACATAGGGTTGATGTAAGATATAGGATTGATGCACCATATAGGGGTGATGCAACATATAGGGTTGGTCCAACATATAGGGTTGATGCAACATAATTATAGAGAGAACATATCAGTTCAAATTACACAGGGCACAGTGATACTGAGTGTCGAAGAATGAGACGCTGAGTAATGCATACCAGATCACTGTATGGCAACGTGCATGGCATTTACATTCACATTGCATACACACAACGTGCCACTGTGTTGAGTGGAAGGGGCCAATATCGCAGAGATAAATTCCACTTACTGCCTTGGGGTCCTTGATGAAGACCTTGGTCTTGCCAAATGCCAACTGGCTCACGTCCATGCACTTGGAAGCTAGCTTCTTGATGCCATCCTTTAGTGACCCTGTCCAGTTCGGGTACGTGTCAGAGCTAATGACACGGAACCTTAGGGGAAAATCAAACCACACAATATACGTAAGACTTCAGGTATGTGTTGCTGCATGTCAACAGACACACCTGGCAGTGCTGCAGGTAAATTTCTGCCGTTTGTTTATCACACATGTGAATGTTTAACGACATGCAAGTTCAAAGTGATGCACAAAGGAAATTGTCACTGGACTGAAGTAAAGTGAAACCTACCTCATGAAAAATGCCTTCATTTCCATACGGAAGCAGAAGCCAGCCCGGCGCACACGCACGTTCTCCACCAGGCCCAGATAACAAACTGAAAGGTGGCAAACAAGGCAAAACCGAATCAAAGCCTGATGGACACTACACATGTTAGTCCAGAGTCACATAACAAACGACGTGCAAGATTCACAATTGATTTATAGGATGAGTGGCATCATGCCACATGCCACGTAATTATGAGGCTAATGAGCAGCATGTCATGGGAAAATATTCCAGTACAAGCAGATCACGCATGCGAGATTAGGACGCTAATCATCTTATAAAGGAAATGTAACCTCCAGAGACCCCAGCCGCAGTTTAAGTTCGGTCACCAGGTACAAGGTGAACAGACCCTTATAAAACAACCTGCATCGTGCGGCTCATGCAA